TTATTATATCTCCTATTATACAGGGTGATCCAAAAGTCCCTTCCACCCCCTGTAACTTTTTACCTAATTGAGGTAAAGATTTGAAACTTGGGGGATATTCCTAGGTCAAAGTGAGGTACTTTTTGGCCCCCCTCAAATTTTCAGGGGGGCCCCCCTTGGGGGGGCAACGGCCCCCAACTTTTAATTTTCAAATGGGAAGACCCCCTTTGTGATAGCTCGTTCAAAAGAGCATAAAAAAAGAAAACTTTTCGCGCAAACCCGAAGTCAATATCTCAAACCGTTTCAAAATGGCGGCCGGTTAAAGTTCAAAATGGCCGAAAATTCACACCGGTTATTTGTCGATGGATTTGCGCGAAAATCGGTATGTTGGGGTATTTTGACACGAGAAAAACGAATTTGACGTTAGATTTTCAAAAAAACCGAAATTTCCAAAATGGCCGCCGGTTAAAGTTTAAAATGGCCGAAAATTGTCACCTCGGTTTTTTGCTGATGGATTTGCCTAAAACTTGGAATTTGAGAGTATTTTGGCATAAGATAAACAAATTTGAACTTAGATTTCTAAAAAAATCAATTTTTTGTCATTTTGAACTTTAACCGGCGGCCATTTTGGAAATTTCGGTTTTTTTGAAAATCTAACGTCAAATTCGTTTTTCTCGTGTCAAAATACCCCTACATACCGATTTTCGCGCAAATCCATCGTCAAATAACCGGTGTGAATTTTCGGCCATTTCGAACTTTAACCGGCCGCCATTTTGAAACGGTTTGAGATATTGACTTCGGGTTTGCGCGAAAAGTTTTCTTTTTTTATGCTCTTTTGAACGAGCTATCACAAAGGGGGTCTTCCCATTTGAAAATTAAAAGTTGGGGGCCGTTGCCCCCCCAAGGGGGGCCCCCCTGAAAATTTTAGGGGGCCCAAAAAGTAGCTCCCTTTGACCTAGGAATATCCCCCAAGTTTCAAATCTTTACCTCAATTAGGTAAAAAGTTAGAGGGGGTGGAAGGGACTTTTGGATCACCCTGTATGTAAATTAGCATTTAGTTAGTTGACTAAACACATTTGTTTGTTGTACATACGCCTTTAAGTTGTAAAATAGCTTTATAAATTCCAACTTTAGTTTTTTTTAAATGTATTCGACTTGCTTATGATTATGTACCTACTGTTATATATGTTCCTAAAATTTTGACTTGATTTTGGGACATCGGTGCAATAAAAATAATATTTTGATGTGTTTTAAAATTGATTTGTTCTTTCCACAGACTTAACTATTACCACTCGCGTAGTGGATGAAGCTACCGAGAGTTTCCTCCGGAAAAGAGCAAGGCGTGCAGCCGATCCCACGTCCGGCATATCGGACTCCTTCACGGTCAGGCTCGTGTCCAGATTCCGACGGGGGCACGACTCCACGAAAGCCTGCAATGACGCCGCCCTGACTCGCTTCAACGACAGTTGCAGGCTGTTGGCCGCTGCCCGACATCTGTCGCCCGACTCCGTAAAGAGCCTGAGCGACTGCATCGATCCTCAAAACTACGCCGTGGTCCTTGGCGCGGCCAAGTCAGTCACAGGGTTCGACGCAGCCACCCACCGGGTCGAAAATCCTGGCACCGTCGATAGGTTGCTCGCTCTCCTGCGGGACGCCGTATCGCTGAAGCGCGAGGAGACAGCCACGTCCAGTGTGCTCCCGGAGGAAAGCAAGCGAGATTTGATAGAGCAGTGCCGCCGCTTCGACAACCTGCTCAGCAGTGCTTGGCCTGTAGACATCGGGAGACACGCACAGCTCACAACGCTGCAGCGGCGTTGCTCCAACCCCCCGGAGATCCCTGTCTCCGCCGACGTTCACGCCTCGTTTCGGGAGGCTACCTCGATGGTCGCACGGGTCTACGGCTCTATTGGAATTCCACGTCAACGAAAAGAACTTTGTTCAGCTCATCGAGGCATTGCTTGCAGCCCTCGTCATATAAGTTGAGTTATCTTAGTTATCTCATCGTCCGAGGCACGAGGACTGATCTGCAAATGTGACCGTCACCGCTCCGCTCTTTGACCCGCCATCCGCTGACTTGCAAGCCACACGCTCGCCTGCCGCGTTACTCGTCGGTGACCTTTCATCCGGTGCATCTCTTGCACTGACCTTTGCCTTGCAGCCACAGCAATTCGGCACTATAAAACCTCTGGCAGTCCCGACCAGACTGTTCACTCTCGATAATTAGAAACCCCTGCTTTGTAACCTGTAATGGTCATTGCTTGTAATTTAATTTGTTTGAATAAGAAGTTCTTGTGTACTTCATTCGTTTTTATTTTACCTGTCCCTATGGGACAAGACTTAACTGGCGCAGTCGGTGCGGATAAAAGAAACGGTCTCCACATCGTGCGGAAAATCGTTTTCGTTTCTAAACGTTAACTGTTATCGCGAAGTCTACCCTCTCCAGTTCGATCAAGTGCAGTGCGGTATCTCTTCAAAGTGAAATGCTGATCATCTTCCTACTATTCTTCCAACCAACCGGGGCAATCGAAAGACGAAGTGATATTACGCATAATGCTGGTCTACTCCCTATTGATTTTGGCCCAGCTAAATTACAAGAAAGCTGGCATACTTTCACCCATTACTATGAGACATCTCCTTTGAAGAAAAATTACAACTCCTTGTCTAATTCATACTATCAATTACGTGGAAATCCATTAACTAACAATTCAAAATTTTCTGCCTCATTCATCTTAGCTAAAGATTTGCTTCTCAGGTCTTCCATTAAACTAGCCTCCCTCAACATTACTGCACCCCAGACTCAGACTACCCGAAAATCTCGTGGANCGCTCCATCGTCGGCAATATTCATCATGGCCGACGCTTGCGCAGTTCCTCGCGTAATTCGAGGAGAGTTCAAGGTCAATTAAGGCGGGCGAGGAAAATATGAACGTAAACACGCTGATTGTTATGTGGTTTAATCCTGTTCAGGTGTTATCTCGTCCCATCACACGTGTTTTGGCGGACTGGCGTCGGCCATGATGAGTATTGCCGCCAATGGAACGACTCCTCTAACAAAATGTTCACCTGTACCGTAGTACCGTTTTCGAAGCGGGAAGCTCAAAAAACCGCAAATTTCTTACGCAGATTGTGAAGTTATGAGTGAATTTCAGACTTTGCCGATGCGCTCATCGTGATTTTTAGGGCATTATCTGTAAGAAACAACTCTTAGTTTTGCTCTAGCAAAAGTTTGCAACAGGCCCATTACGTGGAAATCCATTAACTAACAATTCAAAATTTTCTGCCTCATTCATCTTAGCTAAAGATTTGCTTCTCAGGTCTTCCATTAAACTAGCCTCCCTCAACATTACTGCACCCCAGACTCAGACTACCCGAAAATCTCGTGGAATAGCAAATTTCCTAGGCAGAGGAATAAACTGGCTCACCGGTAACCTTGATGATGTCGATCGAAAACGATACGACACAATTATAAAAAATATGGAATCAGCTGAATCCCCCATTGAAAATCAAGTAAAAAATGGCTACAGCCTAAGTACAGCCGTTATCTCAAAGAATAAAATGAATTCAGAAAAATTATCTGAAAATGAAGAATTACTAAGAAAGAGAATCGACCAACTCTCTTCCTTCAACAATTCCACCCAAGATGTTCTTTTAGATTTAAATGTCCAAAGTACCCTTGACTACATTATTTCTTCTTTATTAAGTCTTTTGAATTTCTTGTCCGAAATTGAAACTTCTCTAACTTTCTGCAGTATAAATAAATTGCACCCCTCTGTTATCTCACTTTCAGACCTCTTTAGAAGGGTCTGAGACACTTAACTCCTCCCAGTATCAAATGGAATATATCTGTTCACTGAGTTGAGCACCGCACTTCTTTTAGTATCAGATGCTGAAATCGATACTTGTCCAATTTTTTTATCACTTAAGTGTGAGTATGAAATCCTGCAGCTTTAACAAGGTTTAGTTTGAGGCATTCTTCATTTGGACCTGTGAATTTATCAACTTCACTTATCACCAAAAAAGTCAGGTTTGTTAAGTATATTTTCAGTGGGAACCTCTGCTCCAAATCAAGTGAGTTATCTTGTTTACTATAGGATAGGCTTATATCACTTGAGTTTAACATCAACCATGCGTTTACATACCTACTGATATAGCGGTGATTTTAATAGCATCATATCAAATGTGAGGTAATCCAAAGTATATGTTTGGCCCACAGTCAGCATATGCAACTTATTGGAATAAGAAGAGGCTCATCCATTTCAAAATGGGCTTACCAGGTGATCAAAAGTCTGTTCTGCTATCTACTCAGTATGTGTTCCACGAACACCTTGAATCTACATTAGGTGTTCGTGGACTCCACAAACCAAGATTTCACAAATTATTCAAAGCTGTGCTTATGCATGACTCATGATAAGGACTTGCAACTTTTGAAGAAGACTTTAGACTTTTAAACTTGAACTTTTGCAGGCTGTTGGCCGCTGCCCGACAGCAGTCGCCCGAATCCGTCAAGAGCCTGAGCAACTGCATTAATCCTGAGAACTACGCTGGGGTCCTTGGCACGGCCAAGTCAATCACAGGGTTCGACGCAGCCACCCACCGGGTCGAAAATCCTGGCACCGTCGATAGGTTGCTCGCTCTCCTGCGGGACGCCGTATCGCTGAAGCGCGAGGAGACGAGCCACGTCCAGTGTGCTCCCGGAGGAAAGCAAGCGAGATTTGATAGAGCAGTGCCGCCGCTTCGACAACCTGCTCAGCAGTGCTCGGCCTGTGGACATCGGGAGACACGCACAGCTCACAACGCTGCAGCGGCGTTGCTCCAACCCCCTGGAGATCCCCGTCTCCGCCGACGTTCACGCCTCGTTTCGGGAGGCTACCTCGATGGTCGCGCGGTCTACAGTTCTATTGGACCCTTTTCAAAACTTGGAACTTGAACAAACTTATGTGCCAAATTTCTTCAGTTGTTTGAAATAAAATTTGTGTTTGTGGAGTCTGTGAACGTGGATAATTTGAACACACTAATTTAAGATTTTTATTCATGGTGTCCATGGACTGTAGACAGGATGAAGCGTTACCCTTGTGGATTAGCTAAATTTAATAAGATCACTCCAAACAGCAACTTTCTACGTTCAATATTAACAGAGATATCGCGCTTTGAACCATTTGGTTGACGACGTCATCCATCTCGAAAGTGACACCCTTGCTTTCTTCCACCTTGCTTTCATTAGTCGGTAAAAATTATTGAGGACCGCACAATCTGTACCAATTTATCTTAAAAAAATTGTCTTTATTTGAAAGCGTATAAGTAATAAATGCAATTTTTTTGCAATTGTAAATGCGGTAAATTCTGAGGTACATTAATCTATCCATTGAACACTGGGTTTTGTGGACTCCTTCATCTTACGTTGAAGGCATTAGCAGATGTGTGAATAGAATGCTACCTGCATATCTCACCGGGGAGCTTATTCGAAAAAAAGGCATCCCTTGATTCAAACCCTACCCTCCATCGAATCATTAAACAGCTAAAAAACTTTAGTCTGGGTTCAAAGCCGCCAAGTCCACCTGCAATGAGAATTTACACTTCAAAGTGAAACAACTGGTTCTCATACCAATAAAAAAAAAAAATCGTGTTGATCAATTCTTCCGAATTATGCTGCTGATAGTGGGTTGGCTGCAGATGCTTTTTTTCCAAGCATTTCCTGATGAGCGCCTCAGTCAGTTACCAGCTGCTGAAACTGCCAAATTTGTATCCATCGACTTTCTTCTTTTTCTCTACAGGCTGACTGTCATCATTTCGCTTCAATCTGTGGAGAAAAATTTTGATTGATAAACTTAACTCCAGAATAGAATTAGGGAGCCTAATTACAAAACCTGCTAGAAATTTGTGCTTTTATTTCAAAACCAACGTTTGGTCATCAATACACTAAATTTAAAAAAGAGAAAATTGCTGTTTCCCCATTAACATAATGCTTCGGGTTTTCAATATCATCACATGTTTGGTTTTCCATTGGTGGGATTGAAAATTAGTCCTTCTGCAGATAAAGACAAATTTTAATTGAAACTGATGCATGTTCATGGTACAATAATGTCAGGATCCGTCCAAATGCCAATTATGCCCACTGATGGCAGGAATATCACAGTTGAAACCATTCATTGCGTCAATGCATGCCATGGCTTTCCCCACCTTCGTCTTATTGATTAATGACAAATAACATTTGCACTTCAGCACAGGCAGAAGTAAGAATTTTTTAAGTCAGAGGATGGAAGAGGAATACAAAATCTTCTAATTTTTTCAAAATCCAACATAAAAATGAAATATTTTTTTAATAGGAACATCAGATCCACGATTGAATTGTCTCAGAATGCTCATCGAAAATATATTTTAGGCAGGTAATATGCTGAATCAACATAAATATGTGCTAAAAGTACCTACTTCACACTATGTTCAAAGATGGAATCATTATGAAACAAATTTTTCTTTCGCAACTTTCTACTCCTAAAGCTCAACAGAGTATAAATTTCGAATCCATGAGAAACGTCAAAAAAGATTTGTTTTAAACTCTTAAATTGACTCTCAATTTTTTAACATTACCCTTGATCATACACTAATGATGTTGCCATATATACTTGCACAACCTGTATACCTTACACAGATAAGACAACAGACGATACGTACTTGGTAAGGTTTGGGTTGATATACTTTCCAACTCCATCTCGGAACTTCTTTAACTCTTGACCTGGTGCTGCAGCTAACTGAGGTGTTTTGACTCGTTCAATTTTCGCCTTCTTAATTTCTTCTTCACGCTCTGCAGCTAGCTGTAATATGATAAAAAAAAAAAAAAAAAATCACATAGTAAAATAATTTTGCAAAAGTCAATTTTAATTGCAACACACTTTCTTCAAATTAGTTTGAGGGTATAGATTTTAAAATGAATGAGGGTTTCAGGAAGATTGCACAGCACTGAATGATAAAATATGAATGAAAGAAGCTGGGTCTTTTCTTTTTCATATTTTGTAGGATCAGCAGTGTCACACCACTTAAACCTGCACAGTGCACTGGCCAAGCAAACACACCATACGGCACAGGGATTTAATAATATGTTCAAGTACTTCCAAAGTTTGTCTCGGTGCATCAAAAAAAAGGTAGTTAGAAAGACTTAACAGTATGATAAAAAACGTTCAAATAGAATTATAACTCTCAGGAAACTTGGATGAACAGGTCGAATAAAATTTAAAAGCAAATCATTAGTTCGTGAGAAGGTCTAATATAAAAATCCCGATTCGTGGCTAAAATTTGTAAATTGGTGAGTTTTGCTTTCAAGGGCAACGGATAGAGCATTAGAATATAAATTTGTAGATACTGTTTGAAATTCTTACTTGTTCATCAACTTCTTCATAAGGATTGACAAAAATCTGCGTTTTTTCAATGATGATATCCTCGATTGGTCTATCTTTGTTATCTACTTCAATTTGTTCCATGTTGTTCAATGTGTCGAGGCCTCCAACAACTTTCCCGAAAACTGTGTGTTTGTTGTCTAGATGCCGGCAAGAACGGAAAGTTATATAGCTGAAAAATCAAAGCCAGAATAATTAGAACATACTGATCAAAAGGAGTGAATGTTTTTGTGGAAACCGAGGATGAGGCTGGGCTGTTGCACCATTCATTTTAGATGTTTCTTGAAAAATACTTAAAGATAAGGACATGACATATTTCTTCATTTTTCATTCTACCGAATTTTGGCTAAGAGTTTACATGTTTCGATTCAATTTGACAGAACTTCACATTTACAGTACTTCACTTTAACAGTACTTTTTCAGTACTTTCCCAAAAAATTTGGTACCTCCTCAACAGAAAATTTCAGTACTGTTTCAGCGCCTCCATTTGATGAAATCCAAAAAATCTCAAAAATTTGAATTTCTCGCTCAAAAATGAAAAAAATTCCGGACCAGTTGGCGGAATTTCTGCACTTTCTCAGTACTTCCAGACCGTCCTTAAAAACTCGGAACTATTTCCGGACTTTCCTGAAATTCCAGACTTGTAGACACCCTGCTTCGGGACCCGGGCTCTTTTTTCTGCTTCTCCCGCTTTCTGTGAAAACTGTTCTCTGGAGGACAATCAGGCGAGAAAGACTTACAATTGAGATTTGTTGGTATTGGGCCCAGAATTTGCCATGGCTAGTACTCCCCGACCAGAGTGCGTTAGGTTGAATTTGAATTCATCAGGAAATGGTTTTCCCCAGGCTGATTCTCCTCCAAGACCGGTCCCCAAAGGATCTCCGCCTTGAATCTAGAAAAGAAGATTACTTCAGTAAGACCTCGATCTATCGGACCTCGATCTATCGGACCTCGATCTATCGGACCTCGATCTATCGGACCTCGATTTAATGGATTGATTTTTTGGTCCCTTTTAAGGAGGCCATAAGAGCGATGTTAAATTTTTCTGATGAATAATAGATTAAAATCTCCATCCCATTTATTTAACAAATCGTAAATCTTGATTCATTTCCTTCTCTCCGCAAATTAGCGAGACAAGTGACATTTACGTCATGTCTTGCCCTTGCGTATCGTTTTCAGGAGATGCAAACATATTTTAACAAAAAAACATGGTAATGATTAAAAAAAAACCAAGTTACGAGCCAAAAATAAATTAAACAAGTAATATTTCAAACTGCACTTATTTTCGGCTCGTAGCTCGATTTTTTTAATCATTACCATGTTCTATGCAGCTTAGCCAGCCAAATTAGGCATTAAAATGAAGTAACAAAAAATATGCCCCAAGTTTTTTGTGGATTCAGAGTAAAAAATAAAAAATAAAACTTGCATTGGTAAAAAAGGAATGTGTAGGGAGCAGTGTAAAAAATACTGAGTAAGAACTGGGGGAGCAGCTTCTTTGTTCTTTTCCAAAAATTCGGCCTAGTTTATCTTCTTAGTTTATAGGCCTAGTTTAAACTTCCATAACTCTGTCACATAATGGTCATGCCCAATGCTTTTTGCCCAGAAACAAACAAAATAAAACTAGCCGCAGATGGTTTGGAGAAATATTCCAATTTGACTCACCCTACTGCACAAAAATTTATTCAGGCCATAGCTTTCGCAGACATACTTGGGTCAAGGTTGCCAGATTATGCGATAAAATACGGATGTTTCACATGAGTTTAAATGGGGAAATGTGCTGATTTTTCTGCACTATCTGGCAACAATGACTTGGGTTTTTCTCTTCTTAACAATAACTGTAATTATTTAAAAAGGAGTGATTTTAATTGTTTCTTTTACTGTCTTTCCTGTCTGCTCCCCTCAATATAAACTCTCCAACACTGCAATGCAACTACACTCCCAAGGCTATAGCCACTTCAATTATTATAAAATATTTAACCAAGTTCAGCAAATTTTAGGAAGCGCTAAAAGCAGATAACCCATTCATTATAAGCGAATAAAAATTGTTATTCTTGAACGAGAGGTGAAGATGAAGTATACAATAAAGTGGCCTTACCATGAAATTCCGGACTGAGCGGTGAAACTTGGTGTTGTTATAATAACCTCTTTGACATAATATCAAAAAATTTTCACATGCTTTAGGTACTTTATCACAGTGAAGTTCTAAGTTTAGGGGACCAAAATTAGTGACGATACGGACATAACCTGAAACAAATGGTTAATATTTCGTGGTCAATCAGTAATATTTCAACAGTAATACACCCCAATGAGATTTTTCTCAAAAAATTTCTGGCACACTAACTTGCTTGTACCATTGCAACAGTAATTGGACTGGAGTTTGCAATTGGGAACTATAAATTCCGGCCCAACAAAAAAACGTATGTGCCTTTAGTTTCCCTATGCACATAAGTGTTTCTTCAGAAGAGCCAGAATTTATAGCTCCAAATTGCAAAATGCAGTCCAATTAATCTTAAACTAGTAGTTTGCACACAGGCCAATAGACAGGGTCTAAACTAGCAAAAAAATTGCATATTTTTTCTTCAAAATATTGTGTAGAAAACGATTCATACGATGAAAGGTTCCAAAATCAACCCCTAAAGGAACTAGGTATTACCAAGTATTTTTGATAGACCGAAGGAAGGTACATTCAACAAATGAAGCCATTTGTATTTTTGCCATTAAACCAATGTTGATTGTAAATACTCATACCTTGCTTAAGAGTTGATTCCCAGACTTTCCATTACGTGATTTGTTTACTTTATGAAATTTTTGAGAGAAAACATCTTACATGTGCTATAATTGATACCTTGACGCGAAACCCATTCAAAGGAAACTATTTCGCTGATTTTGTATACTGAATGAATCTCATTTTGCATCATGAGCAACAATGTCTGATGAGAGACTGTCACTTATTCATGCTGAAGATAATTCGTTAAACAAAATTCACATGCTATTCAAAATGAGAGAAAAAAAAAATACCTTTCTTTTTAACTCGCTGATATCTTACATCATCTTCTTCAATGATTGCAGCCTCATGCTTTGTTTCAGGAATTAAAGCTGTCGATGTGAAACTGGCTGCAACTTTGCCTGTCGAGTAATGCGCCTGAAATTTGTTTTAAACAATTAAATTATTATTACTACCATTTGACTCATAATGTTAAGTACTGTTGATAGAAATGGTTTGAGAAGAGTCTAGGCAAAAAGTAAATTCAAAAGAAAAAGCAGTTTTTCGACTAAGTTATTCTGTTTTCCCGGTTATCAACTTTTTCTGAGCTAAATATTCAGTTAAAAACATTTTAATTTTGAGGCAGGAGGGGAGTGAAACAGACTAAAAACCACATTAAATTATAATCAAGAAAGTTTTTGATGGTCGATACTGTTATCTTAAATATTGCTCCTTATATGAGTTTTAACCATGGGGTGCTGCGGATGCGTAATAATAACCAAAAAACTATTATTTTGTAACATTCAATTTTTATATCATTGTGTACCTTTCATTGTTCCCAGACATGTATTGGCTTACACAATGCTCATAGGAATAAAAATTGAACGTCAACACCTTATTAGTTATTAGTTAAACTCCATAATAAAAAAATTGAACTTCAAATATTTTAACTACAATTACTTGCCACTTCAACTTTTGAGATTTTTTCATTACATATTTTATTTTATTTAAGGGTAAGAAATGTTTGCATATCTTAAAGTAATGAGAAGCTTTATGAAAAAAATGGTTATACGTTCTCTCAAACGATTTTATATTAAGAAAATGCAACTCGGAACAAAATTAAATCCAGCAAAGAAAAAAAGAACTTCTGATGAAAAATACTTAGAGCTGAACATTGGAAAACAGAAAAGAGAATAACAGTAGGTACATTTACATGGACATCTCTTGACTTCCTCTCTTTTAGGTGATTTGATGGACATTATATTTTGTGTCAGAGTGACTTGCAATGCATTGCATCGAATGGTTCCATTTTTTCAGCCATTCGTCATTTTTTTCAAATTTTGAGGACGCAATTCTCTTGTCAGGATACAAAAGAATTCACTTACCAATTTGGACAAACAAATTCAATGTAATAAAGGCGTGGTTTTTATAGAGGAAAAATATCGCATTCGAGTGCAGTTTCGATATCAGTATCGAATGCGATATTTTTCCTCTAAAAAACCACGTCTTCATTACATTGTAATTGTTTGTCAAAATTGGTACAGGAATTCGTTAGTCTCCTGACAATAGAATTGCAATCTCAAAACTCGAGAAAAATGACGAGTAGCTGAAAAAATGAAACCAATTGATGCGATATATCATACCGTATGTCCATGTCGTTCTGACACAAAATATGATGCTGCTCAAATCACCTTAAGGCATACAATTTTTCTTTTCTTTTCTTTTCCTTATGAGCTGTTGGAAGATTTCATTCACAGCTAAACATAGTAACTTCAGAATCGGCATGAATCATGTTGATGATAATAAATAATTAATTTGGATTAATTGAATGTAACCAGTAAAGAAAGGCTAATTTTCTCTTATGCAATAAACAAAAAAGCTCATACTAATTGCAATGCTGATGATAAAAGTACTTACTTTAATTCTCAAGAAAAAAGGAAATAAGGCTAACTTAAAACTTAATCAGCCAAAAAACACAGTAAAATAATAAGTTAATCCGGAGAAAGACTACTACAAAATGTAACAGATCAAATACTCGCAAGTTGAAGAACCAGGATGTTTCCAGATAATTGAGAACTTAGTTTCAACTGGAAAACAGAGGAAAAACGGAAATAGGGAATAAGGGAGGGGATATAGAGGGGTAGAGGGATCAAATTGAAAAACAAACTACCTACCGCATTGAATTTGTCAGCCACTTGCTTATCTTCTTCTACCTTCTCCGGTGCCTTATATTCCCGATTCAATTCATCAAGGATATCTCTCGTTTCTTTCGATACAGTTTTCAGCCTAGCTTCAGGGTTCCCTTTGTCCTCGAGTTCCTCTGTAAAATTAACAGTCATGAGACACAACTCCATTAATAAGGTTTTAAATTGATGGATATCCTTCATGCAATTGGAAGGTACTTAAATGTAAAAAAAATAACTTCTAAACATTCATCAGGGTGTCTACAACCCCAGCAGGGCAAAACTTTGCTGACTTTTCCAGGTTTTCCCTAACCAAAATATTGGAAATTCGCTGACTTTTCACATAGACTATTTGGATCGCATTTCGCAAAAAGGAACCAGCTATTACAGTGTTGTAAAAAGGTTGCTTCTTAATAATTATCTAAAAAATCTCCCAGAATAGCGAATCGTTTTTGCTTCCCACCAAAAAATGCTCACAAAAATGAATTAACAGGAAAGAAAATGTACTTTTATAAAAAATGCTCCTTATATTTTAAACAAGGAAGACTCAGGACTCCTTCACTTCTAAATTTGTAGTAGGTATACTTGCTTACTTACCTTCAGTTTCTACACGCAGATTGTTTTTCAGATGGTGGAAAGTCTCCAAGTTAAATTTGGCTAAATTTGAAGGATCTTGGATGGTGATTATATCTTTCCGCTGAAATGGCTCATCTGTCAATAGATCCTTCCAATTTTTTGTCTTTATATTCAATTGCTCAATAGCCTGGACAAAAGGAAAGCAAAATCAATGAGATTTAATTCATAAAATAAGTAAGTTAAATGTTAAATTAATAAAAATTTGAATAATTAATTAAAAGCACTCTTCAATACCCCAAACAATAGGTTGAGGGCAGATCAGTTTATATTTTTGCTACTACAGGCTCTGTGATAAAACATTTTAGAACAGGAAACTTTGCAGATAAGGACTTGAAATGGTTTTGTCTTGACTACTTTATTCTTACTACAAACTTACCATCATAACGGACTACTAGGTTAAGTTCGAAGTTCGGCATTCTGATAAGCATTTGCTTCTCAAAATTTTTCACAGAACAAGATTTGCTTGACAAAAATAACTGGAATTAAATCTCAATCAAAATATTAATGTTGATATCAGAGTTGCTTACAAAAAAAATTGTATTTTTTGCCCAAAAGAAAATCAGCGTCTATGTGTATCAAATTGAGCGCCAAAACAGTTCTGGCAGACTTCTAAATTAGCAGTGATCCTTCCAAGCTCTGTGTTTTCCAAAATGTAAAACAAAATGCAATATCTAAGCCGCAATGTAAATATAGAGGTTTAAATATTTTTATACTGCACAGACTGTCTTGGTAACATTTAGTGTGCGATTTAGCTCAAGTATTTTTTAGATTCTTATGAGCACGAAGTCAGAATTTATGCATCAAAAAACATTACTATCTTTGTCTAGAGTTACTTTCAGTAATTTTGGTTGTGTAATCATTTTCTTTATGAAATTTTGATGATGAAACATAGATTATAATGCCTAATTCGCATCTTGTCTAATAACCCATGCCACTATAATCAAAACTTTTGCATATTTTTTTTGACTAATTTTATACAAATTCGTCTCCTCAGTAATGACGCACAAAATTTCATTCTGAGGTTTTCTGCTTAGTCCTGACCCATAAGGATGATCACAGATTACCAACTATTTGAATGATTTGAACTGAGTGTCCGTCATAATATTGAGAAAAGATTAAGTCGAAGGAATGTGAAATAGTGCAAGGGTATTTACTTCGTGTGAGAAAACATTCCCTGTTGTGGCAATGGCTACGATATGACTATGCTTTGTGAGAGGTTTATATAAAACTGGACAGTGATAATCACCAGCAGCATTCTTGTGAAAATTGAGTTTCAAAAGAGATTTGGCATCGAGTGGCTAGAACAGAGAAGAAACATAATGTTTTACTTATTCCATGGTTCAATATCAAGTATCACCCCTAAAAAAACATTTACTTATATCACAGAAAAAAGGAGAGTATGTCCTCTAAAATATAAAATCTTCGCTGAGACAAGTAAGCAACTGATATTTGTGTATCATAAGTAAATTGGTTACTTCAGAACAGTTCCTTTTTTTTAAGAATATAGTAATTTTCTAGTTCGAAGAATATTCGTTCACTTCCACAACCTTTCGCCCCTGCAGTGGTTTGAAAACAGGTTGGTATTCTGGCTCATAAAAATTTGATCGGCTAATGTTTCATGGTCCAATGAACATGTTTTCACTTCAACTAGTTTATTCATGGTTGACAAACTTAGAAAACAATTTTGTTGGCTTGCTGATATCCTTACTGGATCAATTTGGTGATCAATATTTTCAACAATACATGGGTAAATTGTCTAAAATTCCAAGTTCTCCGATTCAAAAATTGACCTACAAATGGATCAGCGGCACCCAGTTTTTTTTCTTCATTATCTGAAAGCACAGAAAGAACTAAGCCTCTAGAAACTTTTTCGGAATTGTTTAACCTTAAATGACAAAGAAACCCCATTTCGAAAATGCCAAAAGTGGATACTGTTTGAAACGATGTTTTTTAGCGAGCTATGACACACCCAGGCATAGGAAATGGCGTTTGCTGATTGGCTAAACTTAGCTTCAGGTTCCACTTTGCTCTGTCAACTTAACTTTTTGTTTTGGATTTTAACAGATTTTGATTAGCTTCTCCTCCCCTTGGAAGTACTTTCTTGAACATTATTATGAACTTTATTGTTTTCCCTAGAAATCTTACTTAAAAAACAATTTTAAGACTCATTACACACACTAAAATGGAACTTTGCTGGTAAAGGCTACCTACATCCAGTTGTTGTTGTTGAATGTTTTAGGCTCAATAGAGAGCAAAAATTCTGGAGTAGTAAGTGCCAAACTCTCATTTAAAGATCAAAGTAACAAGTTACCTTTCCTGTGACTGGATTGTGCTTAAATTTTTTGATGTATCTAAGTACTGCTAAGTATTCAAATACATTTCCATCTTTGTCACAATATGGGTTCTCGTAGGGTTGAAGGGATACACAACAATGGTTGAAAGGAAGACGTCTAAAATTTGAAACTTCTGGTCCTTCTTTCTTTCCACCATATAATGTTGTCCATTCACTGTACGTGATGTACCTGCAAAGGAGAAAAAAAGTTAATAATTATATAATTTGAGTACAATTTTTCACGGTCAACATGGACCATCAACTTTCAGGGATCACTTAAGGCTCAAGAGAGCTAAGAATCTTATTGGTCTACTTTTCCGCCTAGGCTAAACTTCCCGCCAAGAATGAAACTAATCAACACAACTGAGCCTTTAGTTTATTTACTTAGAATGCTTGGATAAAGAGAAGAATATACCTACCTTCGTTTCACTCACCGTGGTATGACATCACCTAAGTCCAGAAATCATTAACAACACGGAAAGTGGAAAGGCAGTTATTGAATGAAAGAGGCTCTTGATAGAGTATAGGGTTGAAGAAAAGAATTAGGATGTTTTAGCCGGAGAGAAATGTTTCAATGTTCGGTAGAAAAATTTTCTGGACTATTTATTCCCTGATTTTCTACCAATGGTAAGGAAGATATCCCAAGTTTGAAAGGAGGAACTTACATTTTATCTTTCTGGTGCTGTCTCTTTCCCATGGTGAAGCTTGTTTTGTTCTGATTTTCCCAGACTGTAACAGAAATAAACAACAGTAAGAAGCTTTCTGAGTGCGAAATGATCAAACTTTCCAATACTTTACCTACCAGACCAATGCAGTGTTGTGTTCACAATTATCGAAAACGGAAGAAAAGATCATATTTTGATCTTGTTTTACTGGTATATGATAGACCAGACACTTAGACTGGAATAGAAAAACTTTTCAGGTAAAACTCGTTTCCAAACAGCTGACTTTTACTTACTCTCAGTTAGCGAACCACTACTTGAGGACTGCTGTGGTAAAGTACATTTAGGTGTTTCTTGCGATCAAAATTTCTTGTCATTAATTGATTTATAACTCTTTACTAAATGAAACAATTGTGGGGAAACACGATTAACTCATACAGACTTTGGATGACGATGTGTGTATCACGGGAGCTGTTCGTCATTCACGCAGATCCAGCAAATATACTCTGAGAATAAGTCATCACAAGCGCATGCTTCAGGGCAGATAGGTACATAAGGTGGTCGCATTTCAAGGTACACTCAACTACAGGTATGGACAAATGGAATTTTAGAAAGTCGTCGAAACACGTAGATTTGGCAGCGGCCAATGGTACGACTGCGACGCCATATTGAAAACTTATTTACTTTCTGTTTTAAGAGTGGGTCTCGTCAATTTCGTGTTATTTTTTCGTGTTCTCAGTTGAGGTTTTCGTTATTTTGAGTTCTATCAATTTCTTAATTCATCTGATGGCTTATTGAAGCTAACGGATCTACCAGAACATCATTTGGAACTGCGCGGCAAAGACGGTACGACTTACGACGTCACTCGATGGCCTATAATCTCAGCGCTGCCATTTCGGCACCCCGTTTGTCCATACCTGTAGTAGAGTGTACCTTGGTCGCAATTCATACCCTCTTCGCATCACATGGCATCGAATACACAGTAAGTACTTTTCAAATTGCCTGTATCCTCTGCACATCATGAGTCTCCATAACAGCAGCTCAAATCAAAATGCAACCAGTCGGCTAACACGAGGGGAACTTCTCAAGCTGTCGTCTCCGACCGGGCTGAAAAATTTGTACCAACTCTTCGGATGAATCCATCAGGACCCTGTTTTTTTTGGTCTTTTCCAATGCACCCTAGAAACACCCCCCGAAAATTCCAGTTTTGAGCCCGCAAAGACAGTGCCCACTGGACATCAAGTGTGCACCAGGAGGGCTGGACAGGGCAAAGTAGCACTCCTTCCCCTCGCTCACTCGGCATACACTTGGTGTCCAGTGCGCACTTTCTTCACACGCCCAAAACCGGACTTTTCGGAATTTTTTGGGGGTGATTCCAGGGCACATGCGTAAAAACAAAAAAAAACAATTGTCCTAATGGATTCATCCAAATGGTTCGTACAAAGTTTTTCAGCCTGATCAGAGGCCGCAACTTAGGAGGTTCCCTTTGAGAGTATCCCCATTGCAAATTACTTCGCCCCGCCCTTCCGTAAGTGGCTGTTTATCCGCAAGGCGGAATTAGGCCAATCAACCTAAACACAACAACAACAACAACAACTAACCTCTAGAATAAACTTTCTGTTGGAAAAACTGTATTTCAAGCTCAAGTTGAACTCTTCATACAGCGGAGTCATGCAATTCTCAGTTACTAAGCGGTGCGAACTATTAATCAGCGGTAGGATAACAAATAGTCAACATCATTGCTCAAACACGCTTTAACTTGCGGTCGACTAACTTCGGAGCCTTGTGATCAGTCTTGAGAGATGTGGTATAAGATGCTGATGCTACAGCCGTCAATGTAAGGCACTTCTACGATAAAAGAGAGCAATAGAAAAAAAGGATCTCACGTGAATTTCCTCAAAATTCCCTGCGAGAGGCTGGAGGTTCAAACGTTCATGGCAGAAATGGACTCAATCCGAGGCCGAAGCACTGCATCAGAGTAAACTGCTGCAACTTCCAAACAAGTAGGACAACTGGCGAGTGGATGATGAAGATTGGTTGTTCGGCGAAAGAGAATTTAATCGCACAAAATGAATATGTAACGCAGCTTTAATCCTAGTCGAAGATTTTGTTTAGGAATTAGGAAATTAGAAGAAGAATGAAAAACAATTTTGCTGAAGTTGTTGACAATGGTCATGGTCAAGGTCTCAAGGTAGATTTACACAGGTATGGAAAAGTTGAAAATTTCCCATGAGCCTCAGTACGTGTCACATGACCTCGTGACGTAGGTTAGGGGGCCCGTTTTTTAATTAAATTACAATCAAATTAACATTCAAACGTTTGTGCGTTTAAACGCTAAAATTAATATCGCATAACCAAAATTGTGCAAAAAATCCCACAAAATTTTGACAAACGATAAACCGAACATAATAAATCAAAATAATCAAAACATCCAAAATGGCTGACGTTAAGGGGCCGCTGGAGAGCCAATCAGAGGCCAGTTGTTTAGTTCTGTCCATACCTGTGTAAATTGGTGTAAATCTACCTTGGTCATGGTCAATGAGTCCCAATGAGTCCTGGTCAGAGATCATTCCGAATTTTAAATGATAGGAATTTTACGGCAATTTCCGAACCAGGCATTTTGATTGGTCAAGAAGACGGTCAGACCGGTTCATTCCGAGAGTTCTGTGTCCGAACCAAAACGGCGGTAAATTCAAATTACATCGAATATCCTTTTCATCAATGCATTTCCAGCCAAGAAGAGTTAGCAGGACACTGTTTAACTGGAAATGGGTTTGTTTTTGAAATTCCCTATTTGAGAGCTGAGTTGAGCTGCCTTCTAGAGGCATTAAATTAAACAACTTCAACTAGTGGTTGTGGCACTGGCTCTATAACCAGGAAGTCCCTTGTTCGATCCCCGGTTAGGCGACCCGAGTTTGGTAGTTTACAGTTGCCTTGGGCTGGTTATGCAGTAGGGACTGAGGAGAGATGGGGTTTTAACTGAAAGTGCAGGACTACCGCTTGTGTCATTGTATGGTATTTTGCATTTCTGAGGGCGGAAATATGAGCGAAGATTTTAGAATACCACAAACATGATACGTTGTTTAAGAGTTTCACTGTCGATACATCTTTCACGATACAAGAGTATAAATCTATTGTTCTCTGCTCAGCACTACCAATAATTTTAAGGTGACCTCCTTATGAATTCAAAAATCTGAAGTTGTATTAAAGAGTGGAAACATGATTGATCATTTCATTGATTTATTGCGCAATCTTGAAAAAAGAGAGTTACAAGAAAGTATTTCTACACAGACATAAAATGCACACGGATGGATACTAAAAGAGTCTGGAAACAAAGAGCATTACCCGAACAATCAAAGAGTAATTACAGGAGAAGATACAGTTTACTCTTGGTACCCTTAATCTTGTTGTGTCATGATTGTGATCTTGAAGGAATAGTATTGACATACAAGTGTACTAATTTCGTTTTTTCTTGACATTTTATTCTTGTTACAATTTAGAGGCCGTCCATAAAGAGCGTAAGGCACCTAAGGAGGGCGTAAGAGCAAAGAGGTGCCTTAAGGAAGAGGGAGTCAAGCACTGCCTTACGTATGGCAAAATGCCTCCCAGAAAGGAGAGAAGATAGAGATTTCTCTTGAAAGGTGTCTAAAATTTTCTTTCTTTTTCACGCTATTTTTTGTCTTATCTTTCATTATTTTTTCTTCTTCAGGCACTGTGCATGTTTATGGTTGCTATCTACTGAAATGACTTACCCTAGAACACATTTGATTCCTCAGACAGAGTCGATTTGAACTAACACTATTTCTTGTAAAATCATGCGTTTTCCCTCATCAATGAAGAATTAGGCCAGCTTCACATAATTATTTAGGGGGATCAAGAGTAGCCATGCAGGTGCCTTAATGATGATGATGATGATGATGATGATGATGATGGTGGTGGTGGTGGTGATGGTGGTAGGGAAGGCTGGTCTAAAAATCAATTAAAATGCCTTATGTAATTTATGGGTGGCCCCTTTCAAGAAAAATTACCCCATAAAACTATTAAAAAAGATTCATAAGAGAGCAAGAAGAGCACAAATGTGCGTTTAAAAATTAGTCAATTGATACATAAAAGACTTAATAAGACATTTGAGGTTCACTGGACAATTATTTACCTGGCATACTAACAGCTAAAGTCCTTGGAATATTCAGATATTGTTACCATACTTAAATAAGATGGGACTTTTGTAGAGGGAGGACCAAATTTGAAAACAAAGTAAAGTGACTGATGCGCAGAGACAAGAATTTAAATTCTGAATAGCATCTTTGAGACGACTATGAGCAGCAAAATTCAAGTTGTCAGAAAAATACATCTGAAAGACACGAATTCAGAGCATTCAGAGGCTCTCCAATTAACTGTGACAATGAAAATGCTGCTCACCAAGTGATGAATTTGTTGAATTGTAGAAAGTCGCTGTCCCTCCTATTGGAAAGAAGATAGCACTTTCACATTTCCAATTACAACAGGTGGTGCCTTCTTTCCGGAAGGATGCAGAGGCAATGATTCTGACCTAGCTGATGTTTCGGTGTTTTCAAACCCCAAATGACTTAGCATGAACTAAATACAATGTTCAACTTCAATTGAATAAATATCAAGGAAAAACAAGAATTAAGATTGCTTCTTAGATTATCAAACATAGTGGCCAAAATGCAATTCTGTGATCTGTGTTAGTGATTTAGTAATATAGCAGTTAAGATATGGCTAATTGGAGACTAAGACATGAAGCAACCCATAGAATTTGAGCTGTCAGAATGGGATGAATAAAAAAATACTTGGACGAATCTTAATGAGTAATGTTGATATGAATTTAAAAAAATACTATAAAATCATGAGGTTTTAAGCTTTCAAAGACGATTTTTTTAGTTATCCACTTCCGTTTTCAAGATTGATAAAATGTAACTTTACAGAATGCTAACCTTTTAAAAAGCATGAGAGAAACTTTCATTCTTTGAGGAAATTTGCTAAATTTATGACTAATGCGTCCATTTTTTGGCCCTTTCAATCCACCAAGACTCAACTCAAGAAAAGATGCCGATGAAGCATGGTGAATTCATGGATAATTTTTAGTCCACACTGTACTTAAAAGTTTTCATGTCTCTGAACAATTTTTTCACGATCCCTTTTTTCTTTGCACAAGTTCTACCAGTAAAGAAGTGACCTTAGACTAACTCTCTCGTAAGTTTGAAATAATCAGTCTTGAAAAATAAGTACAAGATAGTATATGTGAAAGGAAAAAATTTCCCTCCTGAAGACAACCTAAAAAAATCTTGAACATTCTCGAAAAAACATAACTCATTTTTAGTAAATACATTAAAACATACAAAATGATAACAAAGGTAAAATGTATAACATATTCGACAGAATAATGGTCATAAATTTCTGATCTCCAGAGAATATAGGCCTTCCAGTACTTCATATTACTTATTCAATTTCTTCATACCTTCTTAAGGTAATTTTTGTACCATGCGTACCCGGTTCCAATAGCCAAACTATACCTGAAAAGTAACATGAGAGCATTAGACAGAAAGTTATGAGACTGTGGGGTCGATAGAAAATTATGGACAAAAATTTATGGCAGAAAATTACAAAGCAGTTGCAAAATACGAAGAAATTGCACTTTTAGCTCTTTTTTCTAAAGAAAAAAAAATCATAGGAGTGCATATCTGCTGAATTGGAAGAGAAACAAGGATCATGAGAAAATGCTAAAGGTACCTTTTCACTGTAAATCATTTCAGTAAAATTACGGAACTGGAGTAAACAAGGCTAAAATATAACACCAAAACTGAGACATTTTGAACCGAATCTTGGGCACTTTCATTTAATTTTTCGAAAATGGGCAGTGTAAAGAGAACAAGATTTGAATAACATTGAGTGCTCTCTTACTTAGGAAGGGCCCTTGGCTGTGACATGATGCATTCTGTGTGCAATTGATATACTTCAAATTTTGATTAGTGGATGGGTTTTCTTAAATAATTGAAACGTCGGTGGCTAGATAGATTAATAAGAGATGATCATACTAAAAATCACCATTTAAAACCTCACAATAGGTTCCAAAATATGGATTTCAGAGAAGCATTGATAACAATTTGATTCATTTTAAAGAATAACCTTACAGTATATCCATTTTTTCAAATTTTGATTCATTTTAAAGAATATCCTTACAGAATATCCATTTTTTCAAAACTATAGTCATTATAATTCAAATTGATAATATAGACAGTGAAACAGCAAAAAAGCGTATCCAGGTTGCGTTATTTCAAAATTTTTGTCATTCACTAGTAAATGAGACAAAACCAACATCATAGCTTGAAATTTTTACAGAACATTCTTCATATAAAGAGGAAATATCACTAAAGCTTTCAAGAAATAATGTTTAGCAGTTTCTCATGTAGAAAATGAAGTGCGGCAGGAAGTCTGCAATTCTGCGAACCCGAGATTCACATTTTTGCAATTTCACCGTTCATATACAACTACATATCTTCAAAAGGAAAGACTTGAGACCATCAGAGACGGATCCAGCAATTTGACAACACCGGAATTTCTTCATTTAAACCTATGTTAAATAATCGATACTTGTCTGAGCACTTGGCCCCTACAAGAATCGATACATTTCCATAGGTTTAAATGGAGAAAAAACAATGTTGCCAATTTGCTGGATCCGCCAATGGAGACCATGAGAATAATTATTAGGCTACTGATGGCAGGTTACGGTGAGTGTTCTCACTAAGAAGAACTCCCAAAAAAGTCAAAGCAAACCTGAGTTAGATTGTTGGCATTTTCAAATATAAAAAATCAAGTATAGAGAAAAAGCTATTTAAAATACTGATCTACTATGCTCAGGGCATGAAATTGCCGGAGTGTAATGCAAAGATATGCCTGTTGTGGGACAAAAATAAATTCAATTTTACAACCAAGTTTCAGATGATTCAGTTTTCGATACTTGCTTCAAAAACAACACCACCAAAATTCAAGGTTTAAACGATTGGAAGCATCAATGGGAAATAGTCTTACCATGTAAGAATGTAAGTGAAATGTTCATTCCATAAATCGACTTTTGTTTGACCTCCAATTGGGCCACCAGGCACAGAGCTCTCTACTTTTGCGTCTATGAAAATAGGACTGGTTTGAAGGACTTGAGCCATCTTTTCAATATCCCTGTAAAAATAAAATAACTTAAGTTTTTGACTGCCAAGGGCTCATCGCAAACAAATAGGAAACAAAATGGAACAGACCATTTTGCTGGATAGAAACGTGTGCAGGGTGTCTACCAAAACAGGCTGACCAAAAATCAGTACTTTTACAGTACTTTTTCAGTACAATCCCAAGAGATTCCGTACCTTATTAACAGAAGAATTCAGTACTTTTTCAGTACCTCCAATTGACAAAATTTGAAAAATTAAAAAAATTTGATTTTCTCGCTCAAATTGTGACTAAAATGACAAGAAATGAAAAAAATTCCAGACCTTCTTACAGAATTTCTGCACTTTTTCAGTACTTCCGGACTGCTCTTAAAAAATCAGTGCTATTTCCGGACTTGCAGACACCTTGGTGTAGATTTGAATGGCAGTGCTATACGCTTGTACTGCCAGGCTACGGAAAATGCTGTTTGAATATCCAGATTTGGCAAAGTTCTCCTTAAATAACATTCATATTTAAGGAAATTCATGAATATTTTTGCTTGAAACTTTCAGACACTGTATTGATTTAATTGCAGGTGAAATTCTCAGAAAAATTGGGGGGATACTATACACAAGTTTCACGGAAAATTTGCATTATTTTTGAGGCGAATTTGACAACGCCTGAAGGCTCATACAGCATTTTTCTTGGGCAAAGCAGTACGAGCCTTCTGGCTTAAGGAGATGTACGGCTTTTGGCTTGAAACTGGTCTAGTTTTGAAGAAATGTCAAATGATTATTAAAATGTTGAATTAAAATTTTAGAAGCTACCTGTAGGTCCAAAGGTGGGGATTCCTATTCTCTTTCATGAATGGAGCTCTACGTTCAGCAGTTCTTACTATGCCTTCTAATTCGACCTCTCCTTCAACTTGACCCGCAAACCTTGTTCGTGGATCCCTTTTACTGGAAGGCACCCATCCTCGATTCACAAGAATTGACACACTGAAATTTTTTGAAAAAAATAAACAATGTACATGTCAATAAATAATTTAAAAAGCTCATTAAATGCACTAACACAGTACCAAGCCTTCCATTTATTCCCTTCACTTGACGAATCTCTCTGGTTTTGCGACTTTGCATCAGTATTTTTTTTAATAAGGTCACTTACTACCCTAAGGTGTTGCTTACTAACTCTTACTATAGGTGTGAGAAACAAAACATTTTAGAAACCCCGTTTTAAAATATGTACATAATAAGTAGGTTCACTAGGACACAAAACGAAAGCTCAGAAGAAAAACTCCATACCTCCATTTGCAATTTTCAGACTTTCTGTCATACTTTATTTTTTCTTTGAAAAACTAGTCAAAGTAATTTCTTAAAAACTTCCTTGATTTTTCAACTATTTGCAGAATATTCCGTATAAATTTTAAGGAAATAAAATCGTTGGAAAATAAAAAGGAGCAGGAATTTTGAGAAATCAAAATGAAGATGTTAACAATACTTGCCTTGAGAACTCTCGAGGGAGACAGAAAGAGACTAAACAAGCAGCAGCTGCTATTCCCTGCATTTATTTTTGTTTTTAGGAAAAACTCCAACATTTGCTACTTGCCAAACTTTATGAAAAGAATCATAGTAGATTGGAAAAGAAGTTAAGTGGAAGTACTTACTCTCTATCTGAAAGTTTAAATGGCGTTATAACTAAATAACCGGTCTTGTTTGCGTCTTGTGTAGAGAGAAGTCCTGTATTTTGACTAACAGCTGCTCCATTCAGCAACAATGACCTTGGGCCTAGAAAAACTTCTCTGGAATGGTCAAAGGTTCCTTTTACCCTCACAGGACGGTAATCCCACTCCTGAATATTTGATAAACTGAGAACAAGGACATGATAAAGGTCAGTGTGGTTCCAGAAGATGATTTGATTGGGCTAGAAAGATGAAGTTATTATAAAAAGCTGCTTTGGAGCCTTACTATACGTGTAAAGTTAAAACACACACGCTGGCAGCAACAGATATAGAGGTTTGTGTATTGCTGTAGTTGTATTTCAAGTACTATGCGATTGTGCTTTTTGAAGTAATTATTGTTTTTCTTCAACCCTTGTGGAGAGAATATTGAGCTGCAGGCCGATTATTGAAAAAAGCAACCCGATAAGACATCAAATTGCGATATATTGCATGGTTGAGATAGGACTATGTCTTATCGTGTTAGGCTTACATAGTTTCAATAATTGGCCCGCTGTTAATATATGCTGACTGAATATTAATTAATGACATTGATTTCTGGAAAAATTATGGGGTAAAGTTTTCCATCGATTTTTCATCTTTGAACCCCCGCCCCTTGCCAGATTTTTTTGGGGGGCTGAAATTTTGTATCTATTTGAAAGCACCAAAAATAAAAAAAAACCAAGGGTAAGGGGAGAATTGTTGATGTTGCATTAACTTCTTCCTGATCAATTGAAACTTGTAGACTTTGGAAAAACAGCCTCATTAGAAGAAATCAAAAGTAAATAGAATTCAAAATTAAACTTTTTTCATGAAATTCACGAATCAACGCATTCAGCTGGCTGAAATTTTTTGGTAAACTTGATAGCCAAAAATAAAGACATGGTTATAGCTATTGAAATATTTAACATAAAGTTTAATGCTTGTGAAGATATCTTAAACATATCGACGGTGAAACTACCAAACCACGTATCTCGTTTGCGGTGTTTAAAAATCTACGCTCACATTTTATTTTTTTGAAGTAGACCAAATCAATATCATTCCTTGAAATTTTTACGGAATTTTCTCCGCACAAAGAGGAAAAATCACAGAAATTTTCAAGACTGGATGTTAAGTAGTTTTTCATTTAAGAAATGAAGTATGACAGTAAGTCTGCGACGTCGCAAACCGAGATACGTGGTTTGGTAGTTTCATCGTCGATATGCGGTTTGAGAAATTTGAAAAATATTACCATTTTAATTGACAACATGCATTTTTTAAAAAAATTAAATACTTACTCTTCTGGTAAATTGACAGGGACTAACGTTGTTTGGTACTCAATTTTTTCTAAAAGGTCTTCCTTCCACTTCTTCCTTTTAACTTGCCAGCATCCAAGAGCAAAACAACCGATTGGAATAATCTGGAAAATGAAGAGGGAATCATACTTCATTAACTGAACACACTATATAATTGCCAATTCTGAAACCTTAAATGAAAGAACTTTACATGGAATTGCTTCAAATCACTTATTGACGACTCGTCCTTCAAATTGATATACTACCTTACTTTAAACCTATTATGCTAAAGTTTGATCCATAAAGAAATTAAATTTGATTGATTTGTCAATTTACGAATTAAAAATTTCAACAATAGTCAGAAGGATACTGCGCCAAAAAAAAAAAACAAAAAAAACTTTCTGAACTTTCCTCATTCATTTGGCAGAAACTCAATTATGATTTATGAGGATTTCAAATCTTTTTTTGGAGCAGCTGATTGAGAATCATATAAAACCCTTCTTCAGGCTGACTTCTGTCGGCTTTAAAAATATGGCTGATTATGGGCCGTACTCACCAGTAATGCTACATCACCGACTGAAGTTGAACGTTTTTGGTATCTTTGGGATCTTTGGTATCGACCGGGGCCTCCATGGAAATTACTGCTGGAGTCCGGAGTAGTACTTTGATTACGAAAGATAAATAGTTCTTTCTTTGACTTCAAGACAAGCTCCTAAAGGAAGAAAAAAATACTCAATAATGATAGGTTAGAAATGAGCCTGCAAAGGAATGAGCCTCATTGAAAAGCAAAAACAAATAATACCTCCATAATGATTTTCTCATGTGTACCTATGCCTTAAAGAATGAAACTTTTTTTTCAAGATAGACGGCCATAAACATTTGGAGACTGAGCTTTAAAAAATTATCATTGGTAAAAAAAAAGCATGTATTTTCAGTGTTAGTCACACTTATTTTAGAGAAGTTTGCTTATTTTTATGGCGAAATTTTTGGGCACTAAAAAGTTATCGGAGGAGAGCAAAACACTATTGACTTAAGGAAAGTTAGAATTGATGGTGCATAGCTAAAATTTAAGGTTTCTAAGCTAATTTTTGGCAACACTTACTGCGGAGCATGTTTAGTTGGAAATCGACAAAATCCTAATTTTGGCGAACAATATCTTGTTGAATTTCTTCTTTCACCAAAGACTTCAAATAGTCTGCTATTAACTAAATGTAACAAAACTCACTTCTTCAATTTTCAGGGAGATCTGATGAGGAGAGGAAAATTCACTCACTCCGATCTTCCTGATAGAGGATAGACTAATGCATGACTCAGGCACTGATGACCATGCATAAACCAGCAAATTACAGCTCTAAGAACCACAAGGAGCAAAAACCAAGCACTCTCTTCCTATCTTGACATGATTTATGTTAACTATCAGAAATGTCATGGATAATTCCACTTGAGAATCACTTTATTCTTAATCATTGAACCATGCAATAGTCACAAATCGCCTGTATAGTAAAATAGTTCAAATGAGTAATGAGGTGCAGGACTTATAATAATAAATTTTATTGGGAATAGTAAGATTTTTGGAGACCTTCACTCCAGAACTCATGCTGAAAAGAATATGGGATGAAGGATACTTTAAGACATTGACATCAGACGCATTCCAAGTATCCACATGTTTCAGAGCTTGATGATGGAGAGAGAAAGCAGTATCGGCAGCTGTAAAATATATTCATCTTCAAATGTTGTAATTTGACAGTGATTATATGAGAAAATCGTTTAATTATGTAGTGCGATGAGTGTAAAAAAAATACCTACTCGGTCCGACACAGAACCTGATGCGTTCAATAATCTCCGACATTGTGATAAACAGTTGAATTTCCACATGACTAGCGATGTTTTAGCTGAACGTGAGGTACGAGGAAACAAGATGATTCTATCATAGATGATAAATGTTTAATCATTAATGTAATAACTAGTTAAAGAAACACTGCAGAGGAACAATGCTGATAACTTGCTGTTAAAGATTTATTTATTTAGGTTATATTTACGATTGGAGTCATGGTTGCCAGTGCGCATAGCTCCAGAAATTGATGCACTTTGACTATACATTGATTTTTTTTTCTGATTTATCATGCAAAAACTCGTCTTAAAGATATATTGACATGATTGATGATATGTGCTGAAGTTGAATTTTTCATTAATTTAATCAGAGTGACAATCAAAAGAACACTGAGAATATTTCCTCTATGTTTTCAATTTGAACTTTGACGATTGGTTAACTGATTTTTAAACCGCACAATTTAAAATGTTGGATTTTCATACGGTCCATTCCCCTACTTTACCCGCTGAATGAAGGACGGAAGAGATTTCAAAAGTTCTCTCCAGTTGATCACTGGGAGAACAAAAAAGCATCCCTTATTTCATCTGCCATGCATAGACAATATCGGAATTCTTATACCGTTTGAGTCCCGTTTGACATCAAAAGTGAAAAGCGTGAAAGAGGATTCAAGCCGTGGAACGTGCATGAATGCAGCAGAAATTGCTTCTCAAAGAAAATAAGGCGCTAAAAGGATCCAAATAATCTACTAGTACCAGATATACAATAAGCATACGTATTCTCTCAACTTCAAACCGCAGACCGCAGACGTCAGTAACAATAACTCAACCTTTAACTAAATTGTTGTGCCCGTTATGAAATCATGGACACTCATTGATAATGAATATCAATTCTGCCGTGCTAAGGAAAAACGCCGTATGAACCTCCAGGCGTGGCCAAATTTCCTTTGATAAATCGCGAATTTCCTGGTAAATTTATGAATATTTTCCTCCCAATTTTTCAGATAATTTAGTTCCCAATTTCACATATAGTTCCTGAAAATTTAAAGGAAAAATATTCATGACTTTCCGAAGAAATAAACACTTTATCGAAGGAAATTTGGCAACTCTCGAATGTTCATACGGCGTTCTTCTTTACCACGACAGAATTATCCTGCGTTCAGTTTTCTTTTCATAACAAAAATAATATCAGAGAATCATTTTCACATATAAGTTTTACGTCATCTCTTGCACTTTGAATGAGCTGCATTATCAGAACTTGCAGTGAACGCGAATAATCCAGCATTAAAAGGGTGTTGAAGGAGCCTTCTTAATTATTATTCTCTCTTTTTAGCCTCAAGCACTCAACGAATCTTTAAAAAAAAGTGAAGAGAAATAGGTAAATCTATCAGGATTCAAGTGAATTGTTCCTATTAAGAAGCATGATTTCGTTGAACGAATTTCATAACGGGGTGCATCAAAGAATGATTTTCTCTACTTCTCTCCGTCATAAGATTTTTTTTTTTTTTTCATAAGACTTTTTACGATCTTGTATGCATACAAAATTATAATTTTTTAATCGATATTTGTTTGTATGGGTTTATCATATCCATCCCAGTGTTTTGTGTATTTTGTAAGGTAGGTACCCATTTTATAAATTACTTAATGCGATTCTAATTTTTGTAATAAAACTTTATTTCTCTTATATTTATTGTAAACTTTTAAAAAAAAGAGAAATAAAACGCGTTCATCTCATAAGTACGGTTTATTCAATGTGCATGATGTAAAAATAATTTCCGAGCACCTGCTGACTCGACCATACCTAACTTCTTCCATTGTCAGTGTCACTGCGATACCCAAGTAGGCATAGCATTATTCAACAGAAAAATCGCGATATTTTGGAATTAAGATGGGTTTTTTTTAACGATTTTTTGGCGATAAAATCCCTAGGATCATCAACAGTGTCACAATTTTATCTCCATAGAGTTGCGTCCATAAAATCGGAATTTTATCTCAATCTATCATAATTTTGCGTTCGATAATATTGCGATAAATCCCCGTCTATAAGATAGCGATTTTATTGCAAATTTATGTGGTGAAATCGCATGCAATTTTTTATCCGATAATGCGATAAATCGACGTTGATAAAATCGCGATATGCATATTCTCCGATCAAAGCGCAGCTTATCGCGATCACTGCTACTTGGTTAGAGGTGCTAACCCAAACCTGGTACCAGCCAGAGCCAGAGGTGCCACTGAAAAGGCCGCGCGATCATTCATACTGATCAAAAATTAGGCTAAGAGTTTGATTTTGAAAGAGCCGTCAAATCGTCGGAGGAGATCATCTTCCCCTCGGCAGGGACGGAGGATGCATATGCGTCAGCTAAGACAATAAATAAACCCGAAATCCCCTGGAATTTCGAGATGTCCCGTTCGGGCTCAATTTCCGGTCGCCTCTGCGTTTCCTGTCCGGGATCTAGGGTCAATTAAAGGTCCAGCAGGGCTACCGTGCTACGGAACAACCCCATACAAATATCTGAATGTTGCCAAATGGATGACACTACACTCACTTAGAACTGAGCTATTCCTCAGAATATTTCTCACAGCATTTTGTGATTTTTTCCGAAATATTTTATTTATGAAAATTGTATAAATATTGTAAAAGTAGGTAGCTTAACAAGATGCAGCTGTTATTAATATTCCTTTATTCTAAATATATTTCGAGCTCGATGCTCATCATCAGTACCTAGAATAGATTAAAAAGTGCATGATGCTTCATTCGAAATGCATTTAGAATAAAGGAAAAACAACTTCACGGTATCAGCATCTTCGTAAGTACGGTACTTTTCAAATTTTTACAATTTTTATGGATAGTTATAGATGCGTCATGCGCTTTAAAAACATCAATATTTTATTCTATACGGACTTTTAGACTGTACTCGCAAAGTTTGGTACAATACCTCATACATTCAAAATAGGGCCTTGACAATCCAGCCCAGTCTAAAAAAAACTTATAGAATCATCCCGCTGTGAAGTGTTCGGGTCTCGCCTATCGATGTTGCAATTATACTTTAAGAATCATTTCAAAATATTTTCGGTTTCTTTATGCAAAATATTTTCAGGTTTTTTTTTTTTGCGAAATATACATTTATCGTTTTTAGAATATTTTAACAGGAGTATTGTTACGAAAACGTAGAACAATTGTGCTAAGAATACCTGTTTCCCCTTTCAATCCGAGAAATATTGCTAAGGAATCTATCAAAACATATTTTGGATTTGATTTATTTTCTCCAATACTATTTTCTATGAATTATTACCATAGTTTATTCTGACCTGGTAAGCACATAGGTCTTTTTAAAAGTAGTCCATCTTTTAAACGGGTTTTCAAATAATGCAACTACTTGCAGGGCCGGATTAAGGTAGTGGCCATATGGGCCGCGGCCCATGGCGGCAAATCAATAAGGGGGAGGCAAATTTTGCAATTTTTTAAAAAAAAAAATCGAATTTTGAAAAAAATTACAAACGAGAAAAGGCGACAAAATCTCTCATTTCCTGAGAGTATGGTAATTTCTAATTTTGTCATCTTTTGTGATACAAGAGTTAGCAACTTTCATTAATCGAGTTAAGAGAGAAACCAAGTACGCAATTTGGGCTGGAACGGCGCGACTTAAAGAGAAATGATGACGAGGACTTGAGATGAAAAGGAGAAGCCCTCGGCGCGGCGCGGCGGTTGGCATGTAACACATATTATCGCCTACAAGACTGCACGAATACTTCACGCATTGCATCAAACACAGTGCGGTCACTACGGTCAGCGTGAAACGCTTAGCGCCTACAAGACTGCGTGAATACTTCACGCATTGTGCCAAACGCAGTGTAGTCTGCGCGGCGAGGCGCGGCGGTGGAAGTTAAAATCATTAAACTACATTTATGTTTGTTCCCTCATAAGTTGTTCGTTCATTTCCTATGAATGGAAGGCCTTGTCCACACAGAGATAGGTTTACGGAACTTAACTTTCGCGCAAAGTTCCGTGAACTTTTGCTGGTAGCGTTAACAGGGCTCTCCCAAAAAATATGCCCAACACGAGTAAACGAGTCTTATGCACCCCTCCCCCGCTGGCACGTTTACTTGATGGTTTTTATTGGTATTTCAAAACGAATGAGAAGGGGGCGGCAAAATACAGGCGGCCCATGGGCGGCAAGTAGATAAATCCGGCCCTGACTACTTGACTTCCACGGCCACACTAGGAAGTATCCCTTCACATAATGACGGCGTTACTTACTTCCGCGCTAAGGAAAAACGCCGTATGAACCTTTAGGCGTTGCCAAATTTTCTTTGATAAAACAAGAATTCCCTGGCGAACTTGTGAATATTTTTCTTCTCATTTTTCAGAGAATTTTGTTCGCATTTTGATGTAAAGCTCCTCGAAATGGAGATGTTGCATGTGTGAGGAATTTGCGATCTGACTATTGATACTTTTGTAAAAGTTCGCGAGAAACAGGATGGTGCCACTGGTTTTCTCTGAAATCAACTCCCAAGCTCAAAAAAAGCTCTTAAGTTGAGGCCAAAATGGAGTGAATATCCCACGCTATCCTGAGAGTCCACCTCTACATCAAGACAAAATCTCCATGCAAGGATAGGGAGCAAATACATTAGCAGGGTTGCCGTGTTTTCAGTTTTGGAGACCCCAAATAAAGTGGTAGCCCTGTCAATGTATAGGATAGCGTGGGATAACCCCTCCATTTTGGCCTCAACTTGAGAGCTTTTTTGAGCTTGGGAGTTGATTGCAGAGAAAACCAGTGGCACCATCGTGTTTCTCGCGAACTTTTACATGAGAATCAAAAGTCAAATCGCAAATTCCTCATACATGCAACATCTCCATTTCAAGGAAAAATAATCATAATTTTCCTCAAAAATAAACATTTCATCAAAGGAAATTTGGCAACTCTTGAATGTTCATACGGCGTTCTTCCTTAACACGGCAGCTTAGGCGTCGATACGCTGCATAAAAAAAATCATGAAGTAACCGCCTAAGCTACTCTGGTTATCACTACTGATTGGGTTTTTACATGATGCAACTATTCAGCCTTCGCGGCCAAGCTAGGAAGTATCTTCTCTCAATGAAGGCGTTTCTTGTGCGTCGTAGCTCTTCATGAAATAATTATCCCAAGCAACCGCATTACGCACTAATGGTTTCAGGACATTTTGTCAACGATTTTTTCT